GTCCAGGCTCGAGCTTGCAATAAAGACTCTTGTGTGATTGCATTGGATTCGGCTCCTGGAGGTCTAGTGGGGTCCCATGAATTTGGCATTACATCGGAGAGACTGATGAGCTTACAGCTCTCGAGATCCAACTATTTTGCCTCTGAACATCCTGCATCAACACGAAGCGTTTGAGGAACACCACCATAAGAGACTGCCTTAGAAGTACCACCGCTGGGCAGCTGAAATAGCAGAATTTTGTTATCTTATACTTCAGGAAGATGAAAGTCCAAAACCAAGGTGTCTCCAGAGGTGGTTCACTCTGGGGCTATGAGGGAAGCCTCTGGATAGGCCTCTTTTTTTCTTGGCTCATGTGGTTTGACCATCTTCTCCCCATGTCTCTTGATATTATCTTTTCTCTGTTTTTCTGTCTCTGTGTCCAAATTCCCCCTGTCTGTAAGAGGATGGGGGCCCATTCTAATGACCTCATCTTAACTTGGACGCCTCTGAAAATACCCTGCCTCCAAATAATGTCAGTCTGAGGTCCTGGGGGTTAGGACCTCAGATTGCAACATTATTCAACTATGAGTTTTGGGGGAAAACAATTCAACCCACACCACCACCCTTATCCATACCAAATGGTGTTTGTGATGCCCATTTCCTGCCTGGATTCCTGCTCCTTGAGCAAGAGTGAGGAAGCAGCTGGTGTGCACTTTCCCTGGGTGAGGGGACAGCTAGAAGAGGAGAGCTCCAGACTCCCTCCCCATCCACCCTCCCTGCTCTACGGGGGAGGAGAAGTGACTTACCCCAGTGCGACCCTGAGAGGAAGTGATTTACCCCAGTGTGACCCTGAGAGGAGTTGAGCATGTCCTGATGTCTGTGGGAAGTGTCTGCCAGCAGAGAAGGGCTGTCTGGCTCTCTGTGGCCACAGAAAGAGGTATGTGTGTGTGCAAAGCTACCTGGGACCCGCTCCTAATATCAGCTAACCACACACCTGAGCCACATGTTCTGACAATCAGCTTTACCAGAATCAAAAGTGATTTAGTAATCACAGCTTCAGCAGGAAACATCATCTGTTGGATGATTTGGGGTGAGGTGTAATAAAAAGTGGCAAAGAGACACCACAGGTAGCACAGCAGGGCTCCACCCCACTCCTGGGGAGCGGAGGGAGGGGACACTGCCCTCTGGTGCTGGGCAGAGAGGACTTCTCTCCCTTTCTGCTGAGGCATGCTGCATGCCCAGGGCCCTAGAGCTTAATACCAACACCCCACCACCCCTCTTCTCCCTCCCTAACCTTCCCCACTGCTGCTCCCCACTGCCAAAACTCTTTGGAAAGGCAAAAGTCAAAGGCATCTGTGGATGGGTCCTTGACGTCAGCTTCCCAGGGCACAGAGCAGGCAGAGAGTGCACTTGGGCAAGGTCCAGCACTGGGATAGTTTGATCTCCAGGTCCCCATGTCCTACATTGTTTCTCAGTAAGTTCATGTGGAAGAAGGGGTAAGGCCTATTAGTTTCCTGATGCTACTGTAACAAAGTTACCACAAATTCAGTGCTTTGGTGCGACACAAATTTATTCTTTTCCTATTCTAGAAGTATAAAATCGCGGTGTGTGGACAGAGTTGGTTCCTCTGGATGCTCAGGTCTGCRTCCTCCCTTTTTCCAGCTCCTAGAGGCCAATTTCTTGGACCATGATCCCTTCTCCAAAGCACTCTGGCCCTACCCCCAACCCATCCTGCTTCTGTCATCTTTTCTCCCCCTTTATAAGGACCTTCATGATGACATCAGTCCCACCCAAAGAATCCAAAATAACCTTATCCTCAAATCCTTAATTTAAACATTTTTGCGAAGTGCCTTTGACACACGAGGTAGCCTTCACGAGTTCTGTGGGATTAGGACGTGACCATCTTGGGGTCGGAGTGTTATTCTGCCCATCTGTGGGGCAGTGGTGGCCCGCCTTTTCAAACCACTTTGGCTTTGAGAAACAGGCACGGGAAATTTGCTTTTTCCAATTGCAAAATTAAAAAGTCTGTAAGAACACTCAACGACATCAGTTCTAAAACTCTTGAGTTTTCAGGCACCTTCTGAAGACTCAGCAGGGTTTTCTCCTCTCCTGGGAAGAATTCACGTTTCAGGCGCCCCCTGCTGGCATCTGAGGTGCCTGCTCTCTTCTCTTCCACCTGTTTTCCAAATTCTGGTCACATGCTCATGTACCATTTGTCCTTACTTCATTTTTATCTCATACTTTGCAGACAGTGATTGAAAACCCTCTGCAGGAAGAACCCTGGGGAATCTGACTTTCCACACCTTCTAAGTTACAAAAGGTGGAGAGCATAAAACTATCAGGTAACCTTCCTCTGTCTTGTCTCTGCCTTCAAAGGTGGTGGCATAAATGGACACCAAGGGTCATTGTCCCTTCCTCTTTCTACCTCTGGAAGGGCTCTTAAGTCTTTAGGAAAATTTCAATGAGCTGCAGAGTGGGGTGCAGGGGATGAGGAGGGTGGGGTTCGCATGTTAAAGAAAATGAGCTAAAAGTTCATTTCCTGCAAGCACTTTCCTGAAAAAAAAAATTTTTTTAATGGAGGCAGAAAACACCCAGATGAAAGTCACAGGCAGAGAACTGAGTCCCAGGCAAAGGGCTCTGAAGGATGGAGTTACAGGCTGGCCTGCGTTGGGGTCTGCATGGGCCACAGAGCTGGGCCTCCGGGGGAGCCTATGGGAGGTGTCGGGGGACCAGCAGTTTGGGGGTCTCTTTCTCTAACAGGCAAACCTGAGGAGCTCTCCCAGGCATGGCAGTGCAGGGGCCATGTGGAAGGACTCTCACCCCAGGGTGCAGAGGGCCCACTGATTCACACATTGGTGCCTCTTCTACACAACTCCAATATGGAGCAGGATTGGGGGAAATGTGTCTCTGTTTGCGGCATCAGAACTAGCCAGCATCCATTCACCCACAAGCATTTAGGATGCTAACTCCCCAGCAGCTTTCTGGGAAGGGTCTCTCTGGTAGAGTTGCTAGACCCTTCCCGACGAGGCACCTGGGAAAAGGGGAACTGAGCATCCTCTCAGAGCCCCACCTGCCTCGAGGACGGGCACATAAGCTGAGTAGGCAACAGCCGAGGAGGCTTCTGGGAATCTGGAGTCATCCTGGCCAAATCCTCAGAATAGTTTATTGATCCTTGCTAATGTTCCAATGGTTTCAGGATAGAGAGCCTGGAACAACCCTTCAGGTAAACAGGAATACTATAAAACCTTCCATCCTTCCCAAACACTCAAAGCCAGGGACTGGTTGCTCATTTTAAGCATGGATTCTGGCCAGGCACGATAGCACACATCTGAAAACCCAGCAACTTGGGAGGCTGAGGCAGGAGGATCACAAGTAGAAAGCCAGCCTAGGCAACTTAATTAGACCTTTGCCTTAAAAATAAATAAATAGATAGATAGATAGATAGACAGATAGATAGATAGACAGACAGATAGATAGATAGATAGATAGATAGATAGATAGATAGATAGATAATCAAGGATTCTTTGTTATTGTTTGTATGTGTGTGCTGCAGACCTCAGAATAATTGTTAGTACTTCAAGAAATAAGCATAACAAGGGCTGAGGGGGGTCGTTCATTGGTAGAGCACGTGCTTAACATATGCAAAACCCTCAATCCCCAGCTCTCCATAACTGTGACAAAATATCTGAGATCATTAACGTAAAAGTAGGAAAAGTTTCTTTTGTCTCATAGATTCAGAGGTTTCAGTCCATGGTCAGTTGGTCCCTTTCCCTTTGGGCCTACGATAGGACAGTGGATCATGGTGGGGATGAAGTGGGGGGACAAAGCTGCTCACCTCATGGTGGCCAGGAAGTGAAAGAGTCAGGAAGGGCCTCAGGTGCCAATATCCAATTCAAGGACACACCACCAATGACCTCATTTCCTCCCCCTCCCGCTAGGTGCCATCTCAACGATTCTACCAGCTCCCAACAGTGCCACAGACTGGTGACTTAAGACTTCTAACACATGGTCCTTAGGGGGACACTTAACCAAATCACAGCACAAGGAATTAAATCTTGAAAATTATATGAGATCTCTATACTGACAACTATAAAACACTATTGAGAGAACTTTCAGAACCATCAAATATATGGAAGAATAACGTTTTTGTGAGTAGGAAAACCCAATGGTGAAAAATGATAATGCTCCCTAAGCTGATGTTTTGATTATATTCATTTCCAATCAAAACTTATCTTTTCTTTTTTTAACAGAAATTGACAAGCTGACTTTTAAACATTTACAGGGAAAACCAGGTGCGGGGGCTTGGAAGGCTGAGGAGGAGGATCTCAAATTCAAAGCCAGCCTCAGCAAAAAACGAGGCGCTAAGCAACTCAGTGAGACCCTGTCTCTAAATAAAACACAAAATAAGTCTGGAATGTGGCTCAGTGATTCCGTGCTCCTGAGTTCAATCCCTGGTAGCCAGAAAAAAAAAAAAAGAATTTACAAGGAAAGACTAAGAAAGAAACAAGAAGGCTCACACTATCAGATATTAAAATTATTAAATAACAACTGTTATTAAAAATGTGATATCACTGCAAGGATAGATCAAAGTCCAAAATATAGAGTCCAGAAACTGACCCACACATATATGATAATTGACAAAATGGGTCTGCAGGGCTGTGCAGAAGCATGAACTTTTCAACACTACAATAAATACAAAAATAGATTTCAGATGGATCAAAATGTGACAGATGAGGAAAACACAGACAGCACGTTGGCCACCTTGAAGTAGGCAAAGATTTCCTAGAGAACATTCAGAGCACTAAGCCTGGACTTGGAGAAACAATGACCTGAACCAGAGGAAGATGGAAGATCTTGGCTCATCAAAGGACTGTTTAGAAAAAGTCCACCCACAGAAAGAAGAGAGTTGCAATACGTATTTCCAACCACTGGATCATATTCAGAACATACGAAGAACTTCTACGTGGCAAGAAGGCTATAAAACGGAATAGAAAAAAAATGAGCAAAGACTTAAGGAGCGCCTTCTCGAGAAGCGGATGAACGTCGTAGGCGAGCAGGGGGGCGGGCGGACATCTTGGGATCCGGAGAGTGGCTGGGCCGGCCGAGCGGGGGGCCGCAGACGCCAGGTCAGTTCTCAGAGCGATGGGCCGAGGAGACTGAGCTGCCGCCATGATTGGAGGCTTATTCATCTATAATCACAAGGGGGAGGTGCTCATCTCCCGGGTCTACCGAGATGACATCGGGAGAAATGCAGTGGATGCCTTTCGAGTCAATGTTATCCATGCACGGCAGCAGGTACGCAGCCCTGTCACCAACATCG